ATATATCGTTTATAAATAATACACTAACACATACCAACGCATCCATGGATGGGACTGCCTTCTGAACGTAAGGTGCGGCTAAACCTAAACTCTTGGGATAACTTATTCAAGTGTCCAATGTCTTTGAAGCACTTTCTTCCATCCAAAGCCAGCGAGGGGGCTAAACATATTGCTTGGATGACTTTGTTTATTATTCTGTAGAATGATGCACGACTAATACCATGCATTATATAAAGATCTAAATAACTGCCGCCAGCAAGATAGTGAAGAGTTATTTTAATACTTAGTGTGTTTGTTATGTGATGACTTTGCTTGCATGTTTCTTTTTATGGTCAAGGATAGGACTTGAATACTGACGAGCGTATTAAAAGAGTTTTCTGACACACGGTAATACCTTTTAAACTCTTGGTCTGACAGGGTATCTTGGTCGCCTTGTGTCTCGTGTCGAAACTAATTCTCTATTCCACTAATCTATCCGGTCCCCTGGTCCGGTCTTCAAATAATTCCCTCTGTCCGGTCCCCTGGTCCGGTCTTCAAATAATTCCCTCTGTCCGGTCCCCTGGTCCGGTCCTCTAATAATCCTCGAGGTCCGGTCCTCTGGTCCGGTCCTAAAATCCTCTCTCAGGTCCGGTCCTAAAGTCCGGTCCTAAATATACGCCTAGGGTACTTTGTCCACACAATTGTCTATGACACCAGTCAAGCAATTTGACAAGCAGTCATATACGTATGCGCCACATCTCAATATATAGGTTCAAATATAGAGAACTATGCAACGAGCAGTGCCGCCTGCAGCATAATAAATCATTGTCTCTCAGACGATCGCACGTCGTATATGCTAGCACATTGTGTAAGCAATACTGAAAGTATCCTTGCTCTTTTCTCGAAGGAGTGCCATTGGGAATGGCGCGCCTGCTATATTTGTTAATCACGATCCTATGTGGAACGAGACTTTCTCTACCATCGGGTTATGTGAAAACACCCGTCTCTATGGTTTCGTATGAGTCATCACTTCTATCTCGTTATATTCTCTATTTCACTAATCGGTCCGGTCCCCTGGTCCGGTCTTCAAATAATTCCCTCTGTCCGGTCCCCTGGTCCGGTCCACTAATAATCCTCGAGGTCCGGTCCTCTGGTCCGGTCCTCTGGTCCGGTCCTAAACTACTCTCTCAGGTCCGGTCCTAAAGTCCGGTCCTAAATATACGCCTAGGGTACTTTGTCCACACAATTGTCTATGACACCAGTCAAGCAATTTGCCAAGCAGTCATATACGTATGCGCCACATCTCAATATATAAGTTTATATATAGAGAACTATGCAACCAGCAGTGCCGCCTGCAGCATAATTAATCATTGTCTCTCAGACGATCGCACGTCGTATATGCTAGCACCTTGTGTAAGCAATACTGAGAGTATCCTTGCTCTTTTCTCGAATGATAGGAAGGCCAGCAATTGACGGACCTCATTTCAAAGTGTATTGACTGAAGTCAACTTGCACATAGAAAATGTCGTCATAAGCAACCCATATATGTCACCTCCAGTCATGTGACAAAAATATGGAAAATTTGTGATATTTCCCAAATTTGTTCTAAGGACTTTCTGTTAGTGTCCGCCGTATGCGTTGAATATCCCTGAGCTGTGATGACGCCGGTTATTGATGTCCTTGGAAAATTTACATCAAAGTTTGCCCCCAACCTTAGTAATATAGTCTCCTTGCAAATCCCTGTTGGTGTACAAGTAATCACTTCCACCTTCGACAAGTTGAACATGTGTCCAAGCAATCACTTCCACCTTCGACAAGTTTTATATCCGTTTAAACTTGAACCTTTTATACGATCGACATATGTCGTTCTAAGATTCCAAGTCAGCTCTGTATCAGTTCTACCCAATATTAGCTTGTAGTGTTTTCCGTTAGCCACCAGCATATATTTTAACTAAATTCATCACGTCCACGAGCTCCTATACAGTGATAACTGGCTCAACCCTAGATGGAAAAATATGAAGTTGTTCCATGCGTATAGCTGGTAATTTCAGAACTTGTAGAATCCGGTCGGCACCTGACAAAATTGTCGTCAGCCCCTCTCAATCCTATGATCCGTATCCGTCCAGACTTTATCATTGCCTTAAGATGAGTCAACCCATATACATAAACTTCCGTTCTTTTTTACTATTTGTAGCCGAAAAAGCAAAATAACCTCCTTAGCGTTTTGCACATGTGTCATCAGCCCTAAGTTGTCGCTCCGCTTGATAACCCCTTTCATATACTGTATGGATTTATCCAATCGCTGAAATCAATTATTGAGTCTCAGATAATAAAATGATCTAACTGGCCTGAATTGACCCAGCGCATATCCTCCATTGTCGACTCACTTGGCCCAAGCTTCAAACGGGAATTTAATGACCACTTCTTCCCATCGATCTTCCCCGAACCACTACAACGGCTATGAAAGCCATACCATATGTACATACATTATAACATATCTCCTTTGAAATTTTATCCCCGCGGCCGAAGGCACCCAATAGCAGCAGTGAGCCTCCCAGCTACTGCTTCAAAGTGGACAAACCCGCAAACCCGAGCCTCGAAAAATGACCACACCATCTTCTCAACCCCTACTGCAGCCGCCAGTACCCACACACCTTTTGACAAAAGTGATGGGCCGCCCGATACCGGACAAAACTCTCCACGAAATGGATGACGTAACTCCGGTATGGCTCTTCTTTCGGACATTTTTTCCTAGCGACAAGCCTCCATCCCAATCAGAATTTGAAAATTACTGGCACGCCCAAAAGCTCCTCAATCGCCATCACTTCCTTTGGTATCTCCCGTCCAAACCGATTTCTCAACTAGATCGCCACGGGAGTTCCACCAGTTTTGTCCGCCTTTGTGTTCCTAGTGACGCTGTTGCCCAGGTGAAACGACATGCAACACTTACGTGGAAATGGCAGTTTGATACAACTATCGACCCTCGCTCCAAACATTATCCCGACTCTACGAAAGCAGCTTTAATCCACTATCTCTGTACCAAGCGGGAGGCTCGCTGCACACATGAACGAGCGCCAAAAGTTCTTGCCCGCAGCATGGATGCTCTACTGAACCCCCTTGTCAACTCCACTTGTAACTTATCTCTTTTGAAATATTTAATACTATCCCTATTGTATAGCAACCCATTAGCATATTCCATCGAACATTACCACCTGTCGCTTTTATACCTATATGAGGGTAGCACATAAACCAGGAGACTTGCCTCCTAGTGAGTGTACAACATTCTGTGGCGAGTGCCCACATTGTGCAAATGGGAACATCAAGCACATCTGTCGTCACAAATTTGTACGTATATCTTTGTATGTAGAGTAAGTGGTTTGTGAACCTACCGAAGTAATATTAAACCATAGCAATTCGATAAGTATATAGTATCTAAACAGAAACTAATTGCCGAGTATAAGGCGTCACGAGGTATTGCGAAGATTGAAGTACTCTTTTCACGATTTCTATGTAGTAGATTTCGCTACACGAGATTGTATTCCAATGTATTACCATAGATCACAAACACCCAGTTTCCCCCTAAGTTGAAGGTTCTGCCGTACAACGATGATTATACTACATGATAAACGATATCATAGATTAGACCTTCACAGTGTGGTCACCCAATGTTATAGAATCACAAGCATCACATCTGTTGGATAATAACATGTTGCCAGTAGAGATCTCCAAAAAAGGCAAGAGAGGAATACATAGTGGAACTCTTAAGTCGCCAGGTAGTACCTTGTGCTAGCTGAGATGATCGCTGGTATGTTTGTAGTGACAAAGAGTTTGAGACTTTGAGGTGTATGTAGATTCTTTTAGACGATCTCCTGAATCTAGCTCCGATTCCGAGGACACTAAAGTTGTTAAGAAACACTGTACCGGAAATGACGAGGACACATCAAGCTATGATAAAGTGGTACATCAAGACGATTACTCTGCTGATTATGATACCGGAGAGTGTGATGAGTTTTTGCTCCTCTCACCTGAAAAATTGAAGCTACTGCATAAAGATTTGGATCATCCGGAAGGGTTCCGTCCGAGGCCTACGCCCTTCAAGTGCCCTCGACGCATCGACGAGAAAAATAGGTAAAAGCGTCCAAAACGTGAGTATAATAATGTAGATGTCATTACTGATCTGTATTTTCAAAATCTACATCGGTGTGTACCTTTTAATAAGTACATTCGGTATTTTTTTTACTCAATAAAGTGAATGATATATTGATTTATAATAAAGTTGATACACACATGTCCTTCATCATGTACCAGTATTGTTAAGAATATTTGTTAACTATTGTAAACGCGTATCAGTTTATATCTATGCATCGGCTGTTATACCTTTCAGTGGTAAATCCGTTTGTAGTCTTGCACGTGATCGCTTGTTAAATTTGCGAAGCATGTCTGATATATATATTTATAATACAATAAGTACATATCCTTTATCGTATATTTTTATTAAGATTATTTGACCACTCTTGTAAACATCTATCAATTTCGACACGTGCATCGGTTTTTATACCTTTCAGTAGTCTGTCCGTTTGCAGTCTTTTGTTTATAATAAAGTCAGGACATATCCTTTATCATGTACCATTGTTAAGTTTTTTTTTACCAATATCGTAAGTATGTATCCAATTAGATCCGTGTATCGGTAGTTATACCTTTCAGTTGTCCCTCCGTTTATAGTTTTTTTACGATATTGTATGATGAATTTGCGAAGTATGACTTTGGAATGACTCCAAAACCGCAATGATGCTGATGATATATTTATTTATAACAAAGTCAGTATACATCCTTGTTATCATATACCATTTTTAAGATTATCTGTCCTCCCTTACATAAACACGCCTCGATTTCTATCCGTGCTTGGTTGTTGTACCTTTCCGGTTGTAGTCCTGTGCGTGATCGTATGATAAATTTGCGAAGTGTGTCTTTTGGATTATTATGCTGATGAGGGGTTTTGAGTCTGTGACTCCTTAATTGTTGCTCTAGTTGTACATTGCTTGTGCAATGATATGATTAAGTGATTTTATATATAGATCGTGTTCAGCTATAGGGTTCGCTAATAAGATATCGCTTTTTCTTGTACACGGCTACCTCCACCGTATAATATATTAGGCCAGTAGGATTCAGCCTTAGTGTCCCATCTGAGAACCATTCTCCTGATGGCCTTTGATTGACCAACTGTCATACCTTCCATACTATGGATAGAATCTGCTTTGGCCACCTTAGTAGATAATACAGCTCTGCTGCAATTTTACAGTCGCATCTAACTTGTGTAGCTCCGATTAATACAAATTTAGATTTGTATGTTGTGCCATCATTGGGTGTCCCTCCACTGTTGTCTAGAATGAAAAGATTTTCTCATTATATCATACGCATTCTGATATATGATGTCACGCACTATCCCACGTGACTGGTTAGCCAAGGACACTTCTGGTATTATGTTGATTGTTAACTTCATCATCATCTCAATAGACAAATATGAAACAAACGGAATCACCCCTGCCATACCCAACTTCCTACTTCCTTTTTACGTTGCCGCCACAGCTGTCTTTTCCACTACATTTAGCCTTCGCCACATACACCTCAGGAATTTGCTATTATATTCCCTGTTATAATCATCTCTGTCCTTATTAAACAGGTTGCGAATAAGGCACTATTATCGCCCATATCGAATTTTTGGTACTCATCGCGCGGCAATCTCTCCTTTAAACGGCATTCTTCAGGTGCACATGGTTCGCCTCATTTATATATCCAGATCGCAAATGGGATAAAGCGTCAATTAGTGCCCCCGTACAATTTTGACGTACAGGTTCCGTGAGTATGAAATACTCTTTATACTGCTGGTAAAATAATGAACCTGTGTTGCCTACATGCACTTCCCCCGTCTAGGGATTCAACATTGAATGATCACAGACAGGAGGCAGTTGTTTCGGATCGCCAAACAGCATCATGGCGCACATTCGGCCGGCGGCCAGAAGATCAGTTGCGTATGCACTATTGTTAAAAAAATTCTGCTTCGATGACAGGTATGCCCGCCCCCTGAGAAGCTTTCTACACATATAACATTCATCCACCATTGTTAATATACTATCGCAGTATAATCGTTATGCCCTTGCAAATGCCATCACATTATCTCCCTGTGCAATAGGTATATAATCCTTTCCGCTGCACTCAAAACTGAGTAGTATATCAACGGTCGATCCTCCGACATTGCCAGCAGCTGGTCCAGTCGGGGCTGTAATGAGCGAAGCGTATGCGTTCCCTTTCTCAATTTTCACCAAACTATCAAGTACATTCATGACGAAGCTCTTTCCCGTACCAGCCACTCTAGTCATAATCCACCTGACTAATGTTTGTTCATCATTCATGACATGTTTCATATATGCAGTGTGTATGTACCGCTAACGCTTGTTATTAACACAGGAGCGGATTCATAAATTGTTGTGTGTCACCAATAAAATCTCTACATATATGCAATGGCTTACTTCCTGCATAAAATGTATCCTTTACAATATCGCTCAATCCCTCTATTTCTTCCTTAGAGTGATTTCCAAGCCAGGTTCCATCAATTGATGGTATGCTACCTCTTACTGCCTCATTGTAATCAGTTACAACTAATTCCTCATCAGTTTCCGCTAAATGCCCACCTCCAGCTGTCAAAACTGCCTCAACATCATCACCAAGAATATCTATCGGTGTGTCAATTTTCTCACCTGATCTACGACCATCGCTGGCCATAGATGCACCTGTGCCACCGATATTCGCTGATATAGCATCAGTGTGGTAAGTTGTAGTTTTTGTTGCTGCTCTGACCAGTGCATTTCGTACATATGTCGGTACTAGCTTGTTCTCTAACAAGTACCACATTCGATCTTTGCTATGTCATGAAGTCACTGTCGCGTAAACTATTATCATGTAATAAAAGTATTATTTTGCAAAATTTATCCTCTAGTGGCCATGTAGCGTCCCGAATACCATGGTAATAAACAGGTATACCGTTCTTGTACGAAATCTTGTCTACCTTATACTCGTAAAATGAATATGCTATTGTCGTTGTGAGTGCATCTGTATTATGATTGTAGTCAGGCCATTCATCTTCGATTTTCTGTTTGGAAGCGAGATATTCATCGAAAGTGTTTGTCATGCACTACCTCTATCGTCTGTTACTCCCATTGCTTCTTCTAACACGTCTTCTGCCTATATATAGTGACACTCTAAGAAATGTACGAGTACACATGTACATATTCTATCCGCTCACACACATGGCGTAGACTCCAGTATCGCCATATTCAAACGTACAGCAAGGACCGCAAACTGGTACCTTCCGGAAGCTCACTAGTTATGAGTTTCCGGAAAATAGCCTTGACTTCATGGGCACTTATTTCGCCTTCGCATGCATAGCCAACAACATAATCGCATTTTCTTTGTGCGTACTCATCTCTACTCATGTACAAGCGTGACTGTTGCAACATACATCGGGCTTTGTAAGAAGATATCCAGACATTAGAAGAGAAACCGAACCGCATCACGCAAGAACGGAACGGATCTTAAGCGAGTCTTATCAGTCGTCTCAACACGTCATTTGTGAAATTCAAAAACGCTGGAGGTTCGAAGTCCAACAATAGTCTATGCGCTATCTTATGGCAGGCTATAAACGATGTCAATCAGGCTAAGATTACGTTGAAGACACCCGCTATGACGACCATGTCGGATGATGAGCTCACCACGTATCTCATCGCATTGGATTCGGATGAAAGTGATACATCAACCATTGTACTCGGTCCACATGCAGCTATATTAACAGGAAAATGTGCATTATGCAACAATCGGGGACATTCCATCGGGTAATGCCACAAGCTACAAGCGTTAATCGAATCGTATGTTGCTGGTAACCCACGTAGTCAGGGTCGTGACCACGACGGTCGTAAACCTTACGATCGACGGATTGACAAGTCTGGTCCTCGTCACGACATGAGAGACTACAGATGTATGTCCAAGAACAATAACAAGCATAACCGACCTGATTCGAGTCGTGACTACCGTACACGTGAGGAACGATACAACAGAAACAACCGAACAACCGCTACCAATACCGCTACCAAAATCACGATGATCATGACCGACAGGACTACCGAGTAGATAAATACGATCGACGCGACTACGACGATCGTAGATATTCACGAGATACCCAACGTTCACAAGACAGTGACAGAACATACCGATCCCAGAGCAATCGACGCCAAGCTTATGAAGGCCAGGACAAAGCAATGTCAGCACAAGTTTCTGATGACCAGCTACCTGTTAACAGACAAACTGCATTCTCCACAGTTAACCCTACAATTGACAACAAGGAGGTGAACGATCAGCCAGATAGACATTCCAGAGGTGGGTACTGACTAGCTTGCGGTAGCTGTGTCACCATTCACGTACTTCCCTATAAGTACCACAAGCATAATCTCGTCCGCAATATATGCATTAATAACAGGTATGCGCTCGAAGTAGCTGATGATACAATCATTTATCCAAAGTATGTGGCTCAGCTAGGAAACTTGGGGGACGTACTCATCGATATGGCATTCAAAACTGAACTACTAAATACCAGCCTGCTCTTAGCGCGACACTACTCATTTGAATTCACTAACAACATGATGTACATATTACTACCAAGCTTTGTAGCCATAACGGTATATGAAGAGCACAGAGTATACTGCGTGTACATCGACGACATAGCTATGACTACAGTGGAACCATCGCTGGAGAAAGCCAACCAGATTTCATGGTACAACAGGATCGCGCACCCCAGCTACGTCCCAAAAGATATACCCTACATAAGACAACCAGAGGAACAATGGAAAGCATGCACTATTGATATGAAGAAGAACAAGAGTATAAGCAAGGAACGACAGCACGAACCTGCCACATAGCCTCTCGAGTTAGTCTTCGTAAACATAATATACCCGTTCGCAATGCCAATAGGATCCAACACCCACTCTGTATCAATCATAGACGACTTTTCTAGCATCGCTAAAGAGTGTCGGCGAGAAACACTTCAAAAACTAGACAGAGAAGATGGACTCATCACCATGGCAATCTCACCTACCCCCACAGTGGGATGCCACTCGTTTATCCCCTTTAAAACAAAAATATGATGCTTCCACCATCCTCCACCGGTACTACACAGATATCGGCAAAGAATACCTTGAACATACCTCACTAGGCTACAGAAACTCAAATGCGATCACGGGGGCGAATTCATATCTCAAGAATTCATACACGTCAATACACAAGCACACGTTCAAAGTTACCTTCGTGCCAGCAAACTCACCCGCACTACACGGCCTCGTCGAGCACACAAACCGTCTCATCTAGAACAGTATTACGTGTCACCTTAAACACGCTCAGCAACCAGAATGCATGTGAGCAGGAACTCAAATGCGATCAAGGGGGCAAATTCATGTCTCAAGAATTCATACGCGTCAACACACAGGCACAAATCAAAGTTACCTTCGTGCCAACGCTCGTCGAGCACACAAATGGTCTCATCTAGAACATCATGACGTGTCATCTTAAACACGCTCAGCAACCAGAATGCATGTGGGCCGAAGCCATACGCCACGCAACCCTCACCAAAGCGATTCAGGTCAATGCACAACGATGGCAACAAATCTTCCTGGGAGCTTTTCTATGGTGAAAAACCCTCACTACGCATAAAGCACATGCATGTTTACGGTTGCCAGGCTGCATTCATAAAATAGCACCAAGCTGGTAACTAGATGACATAGCCACCATCGGCGTATATCTAGGCCACGACACTAGTTCCAAGTACTACGACGAGGCACGTATCCCAAGTCTCAAGAGTGGCAAAATTGCCATTCTCGGGACGTGAAATACAACTACCTGACTTTCTTACTTGGTCAATGGTCGGCACTACTCCAGTACTTCACTTCACTACTGCACGAGTCGATATCCCCACCATCAGAGATATCACACTGGCGTCTACACGCGACAACACACCATCACTCACACCCACCAACTCAACCCGACCCCCAAGCATTACTTCCTACCCGACCACCAACACCTACTATGACCGTTACTCCCACCACAGGTCCCTCCGCTGCCAGCTCTACGCCCATATGTCAACCGCACTCCATTACCAACACTGGCCACAGGCTTCTCTGTCCACCCTGCTCATCACAACGAACAGGACCAACCATCCTCCCCACCCACAGACCGCATGGAAAACGTCATTATTAGATTTCTCCAATCTCACATAACTAAACACCAAATATCTCGCACACTCAAAGGTCTCTTACTTGCTTCTCCCAATAATACCGGGATATTAAATTAATCACGCTTACCGGGAAACATGCGTATGACGAGACAGCGCGCGCGTCAAATGAACGAATACAATGCCTTTAACCAACACGGTGCTGATTTTTCTGACCCCGACACACCTCCACCACTCGGCAAACAGCCTCCCCAGCCCTCACCTCCCACGGCTACCTCTACTCCACCTCTTTCCGAACAAATGGGAGCGTCCAGCGTTAATCCTGAACTTCTCGATAATATTGGCACCCTACTAAGCAAGCCCAGCACTCGCATTCCAGGGGGTTCTTTCACTACGACCGATTACGCCGCCGACTTCCACGGAAGTCCGACACTTACAGGTTTTTTCGTGGGCATCCGACAAAGCTCGACCAGGCAAAATTTCTGGCACACCACAGGCCACCATTTCCGTCCGCCAACCAGCTTCTTGCAATTTACACACAGCCGTCGAAACCCCACCTAACCCCACCCCACCATCGTCCACATACAGGGGAGTTACTTGGGCTCTCGATATAGAAAATATTGGTCTACTACACACAGACTTTAACCTACTACGGACTTCACCACCAAAGAACTCCATTTACGTGACAAACATAGACGTGCACTCGCCCATGTCAAACGTACACACAGGCAAAACAAAGCCGATAAACAATTTCGACGCGCTGCACTACAACATGCACGCCACAAAGCACACAAAACTATTACGGCATTAATGGCCCAACCACTCCTCCTGATGACACACCACGGCCTCTCCAATACCTGTTATTCTACAACAACAATCTCCATATGACACAACTGTGCATAAACTCTATAGCGTCTGCACAGCTGTACGGGATAACCCACTCACCCTTCCCACAATACGTACAGCCTTAAAAATCAAAGACGCGGACCTTTGGCGTGCGACCCTCGATCGAGAACTGCAATAGGCTGGTACGTATGATCTCATCCATCCCGATGACCTCCCTGACTATGCCTTTACAGTCACGAGTAAATGGGATTTTAAGGTAAAAATGATCAACGGACTCGTCGATAAGTGCAAAGCCCGCTTATGCGTACGTGGCTTCACGCAAACAAAGGGAATCAACTTTTACGAAACCTATGCCCCTACCTGCAGTCACGACACACTCCGCCGGGTACTGGCCGTCGCTGCGTTTGCCGGTTAGCATGTTGACCAGACCAACGTTGACAGCGCCTATCTATATGCCGACCATGATCAACCCATTTACATGACGCCGCCCAAAGGTTCATCAGCGATCGGTCTCACCGACGACCACGTCATGAAACTCAAGAAGTGCCTCTATAGACTCGAGCAATCCGGTCGCCATTACATACATAGGGTAGGATAAGAGCCTTGTGTACAAATAGGTCGCCAACAACTACAGTTAGATACACTCAAGGTTACCAATATTATACCCGGTCATTCTATAATAGTCGGGGAGATAGTACTACATAAATGCAAACCGTTACAAGCAAAAAGAACAGCGGACTATTGAACAGTCGCCAAGAGAATTAGACAGGTAATAGTATCAATAATTCCCAGAGCTATGGGGGCACCTAATGTACCTAATCACAAACAAATTGGAAAAAAAAGATTTAAAAATGTTAACACCTTAGATTACAATATTATATATATATAAACTCAAATACAAAATGAATACAATCATATAATATTTATCGTCAACTTCTGCTCATATTTTAACCTTTCCTTTCTAATTTTACTGTATACTTTATTCATTCCATATTATCATCGAAGTGCTTCAAACTGCCGTTGTACCCTGGATCGTGGAATAGCTGAAAACATGTCTTCCGTTTACCCACCATGACTTTGACGCATAGACGAACTTGACATCGCTTGCACGTCTGTGCAGTATGATTTTTACAACCCCATGCAATACATCTTCTATAGGCATCGCGAGATAGGCTTCCATGCTTCCTTGTAGTTGCTGCTCCTTCTACGCCAACCAGTCCCACGTCATGATCGCCGCTATCTGCGCGCATTGCGTTTAGGCGTATGTCACGACAAAATGCTTGGCGGATCCTATAGTTCTTCAACCCTCCAATACGATCCTTAACTTCTGCGGGGTCGATATTTGTCTAGTAATGATACTGGTTGCCGCGATAGCAGGAAGCCCCTGCTCCACATGTCTTCGTTGCATTGATATAATACCATCCTGATGTCGTGCACGTGATGTAGCAGCCTTGGCTATTAAAGTGACGCATGCTTGTTCGACAAACTTTGTTAGGGGTAGAATTGTAGAGCTTTTTTTCCTGAATTCTTAAAGATTCCAGTCGTCATCATCATTATAGTTGTAGCACCATTGTATACGTGTGGCGATAAACGAATTAATCAACAACTGTTCTAAGACACATGTAACCAGTTTTTGTTGTACGCCCATCGCCTTACTAGTAGCACGCAGAACGTCCGTGTACTTTGTGCTTTCATCTACACCTGGTTTCATCACGCCATACAATGTCGCCACTCCAGATTTAAGATCACTCAGGGGATAAAACAATCCGGAGGATTTGACTTTGTCGTGCATTGCACGCCACACAGGTAGATGTGATGACACTATTAGTCTGTCATGTTCACTATAGAAAGCTGGGCACTCACTACCACGGTGTGCCCAGCTAAGTACACTGCTATACCTGTCAAGTGCTTTGAAGTATGCAGAGCTGACCGCCCTGGGTACCTTGATCAGCACTTGATAGATGATATCGCTCCTCGTGGCATAAACTAGCAACACGCTGTCCAATTTCAGCACCATGGCTTGCTGAATAACCTGGCCTCAATATGCGTATGTCACTACATCGAACCATGTACCGTCACCCACAGTGCAGGAAAAATACATTCCATATTTCCTTGCGACTGCGATACGCTTACAAATAGCACTATGTGCCACAACTGGTTTTATCACCACACTACTCGTGACAGTGTATTGCCGAGACGAAGGAGGATACAATACAGCTATGCCATCAGATGACACTCCTATCCATGGACACATTTTCATACGCACGAGACCAATGTCATAGACGGACTGCACCAGGCTTTCTTTCGAAAGGAGAGCCAAGATAAACTCTTCGTTACTTGTACTGAACCCCATGGTGTGAGTGGGAGAATGTCGCCCGTGCAAAGAATCAACAAGTTGGTGAGCAACCAAACTTAGTTCTGCATCTGTCGGGGTTCCCTACGAAAGTAACGAATAAAAGAACGATGTTATTCACAAGAAACCAAATTACATAAACACTATATCAATAATCGCCTTAAAAAGTGTGTGCGACATCGTCAACCGCTCCAAGCATTCCTGGACTTCTCTGTTCTGTTTATAGCCTCGTTCGTGGAATCGGACAATCATAACTGAGTGGAACATTGCGCATGCAATGGCGTCGGACTTGAAACTCCTCGCATCGTCCTCACTGTGTTCTAGTTCACTGGGCCTAGGGTAACTTCGCTCATCGGCCAGAGACAATAACACACTGCCGGTGAAGAACACTCCCACACTCTTGGCAAACGCATCGTACTCAAATTCCCGGGCGTGTTGTACTGTGTCCCATATGTTGGGATGGTCTACGGAGCTGTAGCCCTTGATGTGTTTGAGTATGTATTTATATCGCTGAATAGAGAGTACTGAACCTTTCGCACCGTCGTATCCACCGGCCCACAGCTCTAAGACGCTCCTGCAACTATACTGGGACAGACCTAAGAAACCGTTCACAAAATGTTGAGCCAGGAAGGCCTTCAGTTCCCAGTCTGCGATGTCAGTCAACTGGTTCGAATCGATAGTCGTCAACCGCTTTAAGCTAATAGACGAGTTTTCCCACTCCAACATCTTCGACAGTATATCACCAGCTAGCATCAAGAACACGTTGCCGCCGTCGACGTTATCTTCTCCATCCTTTTCCACATGCATGGCATCTACCCGGCGTTTGATACTGTATGCATGCGATTGTGCCCTGCGGCCCATGTGTGTAGCCATGAACTGTTTTTCATAGACTATCTTCACCTCAGGTTGCTTATCTACGACCTATTCCTTGAGCTCCTCTTCATAACAATTGGCTTCCTTCTCTATGCGCGTCTGTTGCGTTCCAGGACGAATCTTGGGGTCCGGCATGTCTAATCCCTTCCTCCTCTCCTTCTCTGCACCCAACTTTTCCTTCTTCTTTTTACTGGTTGTAGTCGTCGCCTTAGTCGAAGCCTTAGTCATAGTCTTAGTCGCCTTCTTACTAGCCGTCGACTTAGAAGAAGCTTTAGGTGTCTCGTTGGTACTGTCTACACATGCTACATCGCTTGATGTCTGCCCATATACTAGGCTAGTTCGTACAGCCCCACTTTCTCTTACTGTCGCATCGTTGCTAATCAATGTACTTGCTGCCTTACTAGCAGCACAGGTAGAACAAGTAGCACTCGCTCCGTACCCCTCCGTGTCGTCATATTTGACTGAGCACGGCTCTAAGGGATGCACGCGTAGTTGGCACGTGTCACACACGAAACCAATGTTCTTACCTTGCAGACACGATACACACCGTGTGCAGGTATAGCAGCAACGGACTTCGGAGAATCGACTGACTTCACTGCATGTCGTGTGAACGTTTGCATGGCACAAACCACAACGTACGGCACACGCTATGGTTTTTGAACACACTTTGCAAAGCGATGAGGCAATCTCCATCGACGAGTGGAGTTCAGGACGAGACCCCAAGCCCGTATTCATAAACTCTGCTGCCTCGAAGTATAAGTGCTCGTTGCTAGTCTGTGCATACTCTCTTGGATATGCTGAAGGAATCGTCGGTATATAGGGGTGGTAACGAGTAGAATTGTGTTGCATGCTTGTGTTGTAGCTATTATACATGTGTTGCATGTGGTACTCATCGATAGGAGGGATGTCGCCTTCACGTCGTTGTTGCAGTGAATGTGTATGTGAGGGATCATTGGGGGTTGGTATCCCGGCATGACCTCGTAAATATGTGTTACATACGTGTTTGAGTGCGCTTTTAAATATATTAAAGTACACAGTTCGCTTTATATTTCAGGAAATATATAGTTGTAAACGCCACGGAAGTCGGGACAATCAGACCTCCTGGTTTTCTAAAGCCAAATTCAACACCGGATCCATTCCGACGAACGTCGTAGGTCAGTGGGTGTCTATTTACTTACTACTAGAAACACACTCTCTAGTAGAAGTGCCTACTGCCTTCCTTACTACTAAAAACACTCTCTCTAGTAGAAGTGCATACTGCCTTACCTACTACTAAAAACACTCTCTCTAGTAGAAGTGCCTACTGCCCTACCTACTACTAGAGACACACTCTCTACTAGTAGTACCAAAATACTGCTAGTTTCAACTGTGGCTGTACATGGCATAAAACACAAAAACCCTATACAACACGGCACATATTTATAAATAAGATATCTACATAGTGACGAAGTGACGAAAGGTCACCGTAATATAGTGACGA